TTTAAATCTGAGGATGAAGGGACAACCAGGGACGCATCGCTTTGTTTTTAATTTTTATTTAATTTTTATTTTTCTTGATTTATTAGAAGATTGCTGGATAACCCCCACCCCCCTCCCTCCACGTGGACTTTTGGCTGACAGGATGAAGAGGGGACAACAGAGGACAAGTTGAGGGGAGGGAGACATCTTTTTTTTTTTTTTTTCCCATGATGCATGTCGCAGAGTTGTAAACATACTTGTGCACAGAAAAGTCAAAATGATTACTTCCACAACGAATAATAAAAACACGACGCACGCACGAGGTGGTGTTCATGTGAAAACAGTGACGTCACATCCACAGCTCCATCAGCAGACAGCGCCGCGCGCGCTGCCTTTTTTTAATGCATAGAGTGTTTGCTCTGCAAACTCAAACACTGGAAGAAAAATCTATTTTTTTTTTTACTCTCATCTGTTGGAGCCTCTTCTTTTAAACCTCCTATATGTGATAAAGTGATGTCTGTACATAGAAACCATTAGAAACCTAAAGGGGTCCTTTGTGCAAATTCAACATAAACAGCAGAGGCTTCGTCCGCGTGCACGCAGGCCCCAATTTAGCTCGTTCCACCTTGTTTTTAATAAAACTTTGCAACTAAATGTTTTCATATAGCAGCCTCCAACAGAAGACAGAATGAACACATGAATAAATTATGATTTTTTTTTTCCCACAGCGACATAAAATAAAACCAGCTCGACAGTTAATGAGGTAATTCGTAAATGGCTATATTTCAAACAATAGGCCTATTTGGAGAAAATAACTCGCTATTGTATCAAACAAATGACCTTTTTTTTTAATCTTTTTTTATTTATTTTAAAGGCAATGTCCTAAAGTTTCCCTCAGCTGAGTGTTTGCATACTTCACATTCAGCAAAAAACGTGAAAAGAAACCGGAGGTTTGAGTCCAGAGGCGCACCAACCGCTGCACACCAGACTGGATGGAGTCTTTATGTTTGAGTCCCGTGGTGGGTCCGTGCAGGTTCGGGCCGTTTGGGTTTTGAGCATCAGGAAGGAGAATTTAAAAAAAAAAGTTATAAGAAGAATGAAACAGTAAAATGAGCTCCAAACAGAAACTGACCCGTTTTCGTCTTTTCACCAGCAAAGACCCGTTTATCCAAATAAATTAGGCTCTGCTGTTAGGAGACAGAATCATACTTTTTTTATGAAACAATTAATAATCTGTCTCAGAGGAGACGACGTGTGCAGAAAAATAATAAATAAATAAAAATAAGTGTGTCGCTCGGAGGAGCTGAAGTTGGCTTCTGATTCGGAGCTTCCTAAAGGGACATTTCAACGAATTTGTGCGCCACTACTCAACTTCCGAACCTGAAACACTTGGACTCATCAAACCTGCTCTGGTGAAAACACAATTTGTGATTTATAAAATTCATTTTTTATTTATTTATAGAAGTCCACAAAAGAGATAATTTGGGAAACGGATGCCATAATGTGACAAATAATGTGATAATTCCACATAAAGTGGTCATCTTGTTCCCGTTTCATGAATAAAATGTAGATTTTTGAGAAACTGCTTTTTTTTCATCTGGTCTCATGTAGAAAAGATCTGGTCTGAGAAGGACAAGTTCAGGGTTTGGACCTGCAAGTGGAACAAAATTCAGAGAACTTTTTTATCAAAGTCTCATGAGACGTGTTCGTTGTTGTTGTTGTGTGAAACGACCTGAACGACAGGATTTTTATATTATATTATTATTATTATTATTATCTCTGGTCGGACTTCCGGTGTCATATAAAAGAAAACGGGTTCTGTTCGCCTCTGATTAGATTTTTTAAATAAAAATTAAAATAAATCCAGCCGTCTTAAAGCCTTTTAAGGCCATAAAAAATAAAACATTCTGATTTAAATCTCCTTCCTGATGGAAGCAAATCCAAAGACCCTCCACACCTCGGACCCTTTGGTCCCCAGGTTCTGCCCCCCCTCATAGTGTCCCAGGTGTTCCTCCCTCCCCATCAGTGCGTCGCAGAGAACTTCAACCTCTTCTGCTTCTGTCTTTGGTTACAGAACCACACGCGCACCACGTTTTTTTTCAGGTCCAACTTTTCCGCGATGGCCGCGATTTTCTCGGAGGAGGGGCGCGGCTGGACCGCGAAGTAGGCCTCCAGGGACCTCTTCTCCGGGGCCGCTATAGAGGTCCGCTTCCGTTTCTTTTCCCCGCCGTTGAAAATGTCCGGTTTGCTCATCTTCTCCCGCTGCGCGCCCTCCGCCTCCTCCAGCCAGGCCTGCAGGATGGGTTTGAGGGCGATCATGTTGTTGTGGGACAGTGTCAAGGACTCGAACCGGCAAATTGTACTTTGGCTCAAGGAGCCCACGCCCGGGATTTTGAGGTTCGCCAGGGCGCCGCCCACGTCCGCCTGGGTCACCCCCAGCTTGATCCTCCGCTGCTTGAAGCGCTCCGCGAACGCCTCGAGCTCGCGCGGGTCCGTGTCCGAGTCGTTGATGGAGTGCAGGCCGGGGTTCGTGAGTCCCGGGCCGCCCTGGCCCGTCCCGTGGTGGCCCGGCAGGAGCCCGTGGTGGCTGAGCGACGGGTTCATGCTCATGGCCTGGTGGGACAGGTGGGTCAGGCCGTGCATGTGGGGGTGCGCGTGGGCGGAGGAGGTGGAGAGGAGCCCGCCGCCGCCGCCTCCACCTCCCCCGCCGCCTCCGCCCGTCCCGTCGTGTGCGCTGGACATGAGGGTGAGAGACGGCGAGCCCAGGTGCTCCATGATGTCCGGGGGCTCCAGGTTCTGGTGGTGGTGGTGATGATGGTGGTGATGGTGGTGCGCCAACGGCACGGTGGACGTGGACGAGCACGGCACCGTGCTCATCGTGTGGTAGGTGGCGTCAGGCTTGAACGGGTGCGTCTTGCTCTGGGACACGGCGATGTCCACGGCGGCCAGAGCCTCCGCGCGCGCCAGCAGCGTCTCATCCAGGCTGGCGAAGATGTTGCTCTGCAGCTGCGACGGAGAGGAGGAGGGAAGTGAATAAACAACAACAAACAACAACAACAACAACAACAAACAATAACAGAAACAGAGAGATCAGAGTCCGCCAGGCTGAGGAGCATCGGGCGCGCGTCTTTGCGCGGAGCGGCTCTCGGCTTTTACGCGCGACAAGAAGAGTGAAATGGAAGAGGAGCGGCGGGAAGTTGCGGGTACGATTACCTGCGGGGTCTGCAGGCAGGCTCTCCGGATCGCCTCGGAGCTGGAGTGCAGGCTCGTGTACTTGTGCTCCGGCAGGGGGGGGTGCATGGCGAAGTGCGGCTGCTTGCTGTTCATGGACATCATCTTGGCGAGCTGCTCCACTTAAAGTGCACGAGAAGAAACACCGAGATGAGGGGGGAGAGATGGAAAAACCAGAAATCCTTTTTTTTTGTTGTTGTTGTTGCCTATCCGGTGATGATGCGCTGCGGCGCGCGCTCTGTGGTGCGGCAGCCTCGCGCGCGGAGATCACAGAGACGCCTGCAGTCTCTCAGACTCACTGATCTGTCTACTGTTTCCCTCCGCCCGGGATGAGAGAGCCCCTCACACCTGAGCGCCTCTCATCTCGTCGAGCCCGTGGCTCGGCTGCTCTCGCGAGACCTGAGCCGCCAGAACTGAACCGACTGACGACTGACAGAGGAAGACCCAACAGGGCTATCT